ATAAAATTATTAAGATTATTCAATTCACACACTGTGAAAAAATCCTTATCTACTTTTAACCGTCTTCAGAAAAAAGAGGAGGTTCTCAGTTTGTCGGTATTTTTTTCTTAGTTAAAGTTTATTGTTACCTAGTTAAATTAGTTAGATTGGTGTACCAAATCAGAACGGCTTACAATTTCAAAGGACACTAAAGACAAGTTATTGTACGGATCCACTACAGCAATAGATATTTGTCGTCGTTGTAAAATTTTTAATAAGAGGGCGATCAATGAGAGTGGTTCAAATTTCAGTGCTGTCTTCGAAATATAATACCAATTATTTTATGAGAACAGTTTTAAAATCTCTGATTAGGTATTATTGATTCCCGGATATTTATTTTCATCAATATGAAATAGAATCAACAAATCATTTAATTGAATTATCAAGATGCATAATTTACAAATTTGTAGACGCTTGTTTATATTTATTTACAAAGAACAATCAGGACCCTTAAACTTTAATTCGAAATAAATATAAAAAATTATTCCTTTTAAAAATCAATAATAATATAATAAATACATGTTTTCGTTGTAACTGATTGATTTTGATTAAATATTATTTATATGATTTTAATTGAGTATTTTTCATAATGATAAAATCCATTTTATCGATAACGAATATTTTCCTTTATTAAGAAGAGCAACCCTAAAGATAGCCATAACAACGCAACTTGACCATTTGCAGCCACGCGTTCTTCCCCGTCCCCCGGGCCGCAGTAGTGAGTCGTATGCTTAGAAGAAATCTGCCTATACGCTCCTTAGTGGTTATATTCTCTATGCCTAGACTCCTTGCAGCCGCTTTGGCCTTGGACTAAATTAACCGTCCGAAGTTCAACTTTGAGGATATCTCAACCCCCAGCAACTGGAGGCGGTCAGTGTATTCCCGTGATACATTTCGGAAAGAAGGAGCCAAGGTAAGCTGGCTCCTTTTTGCAGTGAAGAGACACGCTTGTATTTTGGAGGCGTTGAATTTCACAAGATTAGCATCGCCCCATTCAGAGACTGCCTGTAGTATGAGATTCAAACATTCTACCATAGCTTCGCTGTCGGACTGGATTTGATCCCGACTGGCACGAGGACCTGGTTGGTAACTCTCCACAACTATGCTGTCGTTGGCGTACCCATATATATCGGGCATAATCATATCATTTATATCCAGCAGGAAGAGCGTTGCGGAGAAAACGGACCCCTGAGGAACACCGGCGTTAGTCGTCGCTGGATCGGATGAGCAGCCATCGACGACGACCCGGAGAGACCGTTCACTCAGAAAGTATTTTACCCAGTCAATCAGATCAGGGATAAGCTGTATGCTGGAAGCTTAGCCAGAAGGCTAGAGTGCCATACTCTGTAAAGGGCTTTTGAGAAATCAAGGGAAACGGCAAGTGCTTCTCCACTGTTCTCGAGTCCCTCGCCCCATACGTGTGTTGCATACGCTAGAAGGTCCCCAGCTGACTGGTACGGCAGAACCCGTATTGCCGGTCACTAAGGAGATCATTCTGTTCTAGTTATGCCATTAAACGTTTATTCAATATACCCTACATAATCTTGCAGAGTATGGAGGTAATTAAGATTGGCTGATAATTGGCAGGGTCGGCATGGCTGCTTTTTTTGGCACAGGCTGCACGTTGGCCAGCTTCCAGGATTATGGCACTGTTCCAGTCCTAAATAAGAGGCGGAACAAGCGTGTCAACACAGGATACAACTCAGATGCACAAGCCTTTAGTACAATAGCTGGTATACCATCTGGTCCAGTCTTATTAACGTCTAGACATCGCAAGGTATTGAGAACCTCCTTATTTGTCATACGAACGAGCGCTCGGTGCGCAGAGCACTCCTCTCCCTAGACGTCATGGCGTCTCTCCTATTGTGCTGAAAACATGTGCTCCGGAGTTGGCACCGATTTTAACGTGACTTTTTAGGTACTCCTACTCCCTAGGCGTAGCCGCGAATTTATGGAAGACAGCTTTAGTGTACCCGATCCCTAAATAAGGCCACCGTTCAGATCCGTTGAACTACAGGCCTACTCTACTCTACTCTACCTCTACAGGCGACCTATCATCTCCTTGTTCTCTAAAATAATAGAAACAATTATTGACTGCCAGCTCATAAGGTACCTTGAGGATCACCAGCTGATTAGTAACTGCCAGTACGGTTTCCGTCGGGGTCACTGGGTGGTTGATATTCTTGATTACCTAACTCACAAATAGGCGGAGGCCGTAGAGTCCAAGGGAAAAGAGTTGGCCTTTTGTTTGGACATAGCGAAGGCCTTCAATCGGGTTTGGCACAAAGCGCTTCTTACGAAGCTTCCTTTCTATGAGCTTCTCGTGAAATATTTCAACTTGATTACCAGTTTTCTTGCAGATCGAAGCATCATGGTCGTAGTAGACGGTGCATGCACCGATTACAAGAACATTAACCCTGGTGTTCCACAAGGTTGCGTGCTATCACTAACGCTTTTTTCTTCTGCATATCAATGACATGTTGCAAACCGGAAACATTCATTGCAATGCTGACGACACAGTTTCTCGGGAAAATATTCGAGTACCAGAACAAACTTGTGTCTGAAGTTGAGACTTAGATGAACAAACTTTTGGACAGGGGGCGACTAAATCTAGTCCAGTTCAATCCTCAGAAGACACAAGTTTGTGCGTTTATCGCTAAAAAGAAACCCTTCGTCGTATATTTTCAGTTTCAACGCACTTCCCTTGTTGCCCTAGCCAGTATCGGAATCCTCAGCGTCGACATATCGAGTGACGTGCAGTTTCGTGGTTACTTGGATGAGAAGGCCAAATCGGCCTCTAAAAATCTTGGCGTATTCAGCAGAGCGGGACAGTATTTCATGCCAGCACACCGCCTGCAACTTTACAAGGCGCAGGTTTGGCCACAAATGGAATGCTGTTCCCGTCACTGGCCTGGAGCTTCCCAGTGCCAGCTCCTTCTATTTGATCGCATCCAGCCCAGAGCCGTGAGGGCTTCGGCAATATATTACTTGAATTGAGAATGGATTACTTGAGAGGCTTGAATCGCTGGCACTTCGAAAACATAATGCATCTTTTTGCGTATTTTATCGCATTTACAAAGGGAAGTGCTCTGAGGATTTGTTCGGGCTAATTCCAGCCGTACAATTTCACCATCGCACATCGCAATAAAACTCGCGATACCATCGATACCATCTGGATGACTGGCAGTCCACCACTGTGCGATTTGAAAGAGTTTTCTTTCTTGCACAACTTCCTAGTGGAATCGACTGTCAGCCTTTGTAATCCTTATCAGCGCTTAGTGATGATTTTAGCAGCTACCCATTTGCAAATCACATCATTATGACTTATAACAAAAACAGTCACACATTATTTTCAATTGTATTTACCTCTTTCAACATCTACGTGACGAAATAAGGATGTGTTCTTCTACAACACCACTTACATTATACACTTCATATATATATATATATATATATATATATATATATATATATATATATATATATATATATATATATATATATTGACATACACTTTGACGACAGAGAACGCCGACTGGCATTAACTTATCTTAGTTGTAAATTGTTATAATAAGAATTAATAAAGTAAATAAATAAATAAAGGTTAAGTCCGTAACCGAAATCATATTCGAATGACTCGATGCCAATTAAATTGGCTGAGAGGAAAAAACAGGGCGGTAAACAAACAAATGTCATGTATATACACAAAATTGTAGGAAGTTTAAATGAAGTTTACAAAAAACCCCATATGTTAAATCACATCAAGCCATTTAGGCTAAAAAGCGTGCGTGAGGAATATACATTGTACGAACGAGATCTGTGCTGAGGATCCGCTCACTACTTTTTGATGAACATATTTTACTATATACTAGTGACCCGCGCCTGCTTTGCCTGCATAAGACCTATTCATTTGGCGTTATTTACATTTAAGACTAACAGAGACTATTTATTTTATAAATTTTTATTTACATTTAAGACTAACAGAGACTATTTATTTTATAAATTTTTCGTTTTATAGTAAGTTCTCTTTGAATTAAAGTTTTTCGGATCTTATAGCCTAGTTTCCTTCCGGCGTTGATCTATTAGCTGTTCGTCAAGTTCATCACAATGAGTCCAGCCATTCCGAATATTAGCGGGGACAGACAGACAGAAATTTTTTTTAAAAATGGTTAGCAGCATTCAGATAACCCCGAGCTAAATAGAAGCCAGTGATACACATCGATATATTATAATTTTTACATATATAGTATTTGTAGTATAAATGCGCAAACACACACACACACGCGCGCGCACGCACGCACCCACCCAACACACACACACACACACACACACACACACACACACACACACACACACACACAACACACACACACACACCCCACAACAAAACAAAAAAAAACAACACACACACACACACACACACATACACACACGCGCACGCACACACACACGCGCACGCGCATGCACACACACACACTATTAAGTAATAAGTGGTAACATAGTATATAAACATAATATGTGATACAATTAATTTCATTGTACTTAGATTATATTAGCGGAATGTACAAATTTTTAGATAGTATGTGATTATTTAACTTTTGCTTGCATCCTAATATTTTTATAAATTAACGGTGGGGATATGGCGCTGACAGCTGATGCACAGGTCTCCTAGTTCGGCTGCAGATGCTATGTTTCCAAGTATATGTACTAATGTAGCTTTATTAAATGTTAAGCAAATATCGTGATGTACACACCTCTTGGAAATAAAGAACTTATTATTATTATTATAAATAATATTTGGAATCTAACAGTAAACAGATGATGTTACCGTGGTTCTAGGGATACCGATTATAATGGTAAATTATGTTTACTCTGAATTGAATCGTGTAAACTCGTTCATTGTGTTTTTTTTTCAGTAATACTGTAACATTCTAGTTTAGATAGAGGGTATAAAAGCAGAAATGCGGCGCACGGCGACAACGCTGCTACTGCTGTGGCTAGTGACCCTGCGTAGCGCACAGGCCAGCGCCTGCGACAGACTTCTCGCCAACTACATCAATAGTGAGTTGTCTAGCTATACAGGAAATAAAGGTGTGGTCTCAAATTGTACTCAGAATTTTCATAGCATTAAAGCGCTGACAGTGCAATCTATCTGACGGTAAATGGCCTGCATCTTTTAGACACCTGCAAAGTAGTTCAAAACAGAAGGCTGTAGGAATGTTGTCATCTATGAGAACTATGACGAAATGCCTCATGAGACTCACAAACTGTTACTAGATGAGTTCTCCATACCCTTCAGAGTTCGTTTCAATGTAAGTTGATGACCAAGTCAAACTAATCGGAGGACTGGCAAGAGCGTCAATGTTTGCCGATTTGCCTAACCAGTGGAACGATCATACCAAATTATGTCAAGCCTAGGAGTATATTTATTCATATTATGTCCATATTCAGAAGTTTATAAAAATTAATTCGTGTTAGAAGGTAATTGTGCAAACCATTATCATATGCACGTAGTATGTAATAAGTTGTGTTCATGATCATCATCATTACAACCCCTCACAAGTCATACGGAACGCCACAAAGCACGGTATCGAGCCACCTGCATCAATCGATTTCCTGCATGTGTTACCAGTTCGTCACTCCATCTAGTGGGGGTTGCCCTACACTACGCCTACCGGTACGCGACTGCCACTCGAGAACTATTTCTCCCCATCAGTTGTCGGTTCTTCGAGCTACATGGCCGGCCCATTGCCACTTCAACTTACTAATCCGTTGGGCTATGTCGTGTCGTTACTTTGATTATATGCGAATATCCTCATTTCTAAGTTATCACTCAGAGAAACCTCGAGCATAGCCCTCTCCATAGCTTGCTTATCAATCTTGAGCGTCCTCATATGGCAAGCGGTGAAGGACCAGTCTCAGATCCATGTCATTACTGGCAACACGCACTGGTTGTACAACCTAGTTTTCGGATTTTGAGGTATACCTGTCGAGAAGATGTGTCGTACTTTCCCGAACGCTGCCCAGCCGAGTTGAATCCGTCGATTAACCACTCGGTCGAAGTTGGACTTACCTAGTCGAACTATTTATCTCAGGTAGACGTACTCGCCAACAACTTCGAGATTAATGCTTCCAACAACTACCGGCATAGGTGTGATATGGACATTTCACATGATCTTTATTTTGTCCATGTTCATCTAAAGACCTATCCGTTGGAAGACACCATTGAAGTCATTGAGTATAGTGCTTAGGTCCTCGAGCGATTCTGCCATAGGGACTATATCGTCGGAAAATCGAAGGTGAGTGATGTATTCGCCATTGATGTTAATATCGTATCCTTTCCAGTTCAGTAGCTTAAAAACATCTTCCAATGCAGCTGTAAAGAGTTTCGGGGATATAACGTCACCCTATCTTACACCTCTCTGCAGTCGGATAGGTTTCGTACTTTTGTTCTGAACTCGGATAGCCATCGTAGCCCTACTGTACAAATACTTGAGCACTTCAATATACCGACAGTCAACAAAAGGACTGTAGCACCGCCTAAATTCCGACGGAATCAAAGACTTTCTTATATTCCTCATACGCAAACCAAAGTGGCAGAATGTACTCATCGGTTGTCTGTAATATCTGCCGCAAGGTATATATGTATGTGGTCTATCGTACTGAAGCCTTTTTGGAAACTGGCTTGTTCGGGAGGCTGGAAGTCACTGAGACTGAGAAAATAGGTCTGTAGTTATTCAAAAGAGCGTTATTGCCTTTCTTGAAGAATAAAACACCGCACTGGTGTTCCACGCCTCCGGAGTAGGACCACCATGAAGGACGGAATTGAATAGCTTCTGAAGGACTTTGAGTACCGATTTTCAACCCGTTTTCAGAAGCTCCGCTGTAATTACATCAGAATTGTGCATCAGAATTGTGTCGGATAACACTTGCTCTTGGATCGGTACTCACACTTGCGTGTGGCTCCAACGATGATATACACAGCTGCCTATAGAATCTCTCTATCACACTCAAAATCTCAGGTGCCCGAAAACGATGATGCTACACTCATTTTTCAAAGGGAAAGATTTTGAAGCCCTGGCTCCGCTCGATCGCATCTTCAATACGAGCAGTATTAAAGTTGCTAAGTCCCGCCGCATGCATTTGGAGATCTGTCTGTTGAGTTGCCTATATACTGTCAAATTTGTTGCAGACTGCAGCTTCATTTCCCGTCTAACAGCCATGAGATTAATAGTGTGATCGGAGAGTGTTTTTGCTTTTTTGCGGTCGGTCTTGCAAAACATAGCTGTGACCACAAGGACAGTTTCCACGAGCTTATCATTCAAATCGTCCACAACATTGCAGTTGTTAGGCAACGAAAACGGTTTTGTAAGTCCAGCTGAAAGATTTCGGGATTTTGGGTTAGAGCACAAGGAGGATGGAGCGTTAACTTTATTAGATGAACTTAATACTTAGGTTCAGTGTGCCTTTAACTATTCGGTGATCGCTGCCAGCTTTCACCCTTGTAATCACTGACACGAGATATCACTGAACAGTTGCCGTCTAGTTGTCATAATGAAGTCAATCTCTTTTTTTTTGAACCACGTGGCGTCACTTTCTGTGGGGCCGCTTCTGGAAGAAAAAGTTCATTATAAAGAGTTCTTCTTTATAAATGAAGTTAGCCAGCTGCTAGCCCCGTGGGGTCCGTTGCCCTATCTCAAATTTCTCTACCTTCAGCTCACCTTTCTTTCTTGTAGTGTAGTTTTGCGTTGAAGTCTCCTATTAACACCATTTAGTTAGTTTTGGAGGAATGCAAGGTTCTAGAAATATCCTTATACATTTCCTCCACCTGGTCGGAATGTGCCGAGGTTGGTGTGTACACCTGTATGTCCTTCAGCGAATACTGGGTGATCCTGAGTATAATGTACGTAAACCTCGTCGACACACTACTAATCTTTACAACGTTGTTAACGAGAGAGTGGTGGACGATAAATCCGACACCTCCTTGGGACAGATGGTCGCACTCCCGGTGATAGAACAAGTTGCCGGATTCTATATTCACCGTGGCCTTCCACCCCTCTTCGGACCCCGGATGATTCTATAATATTCGAGCACAGCTTGTCTATCTCTTCTTCCAACTCCAGGATCTTCTCATCAGTCCTCAGGGTGTGTGCCTTGTATGTTGCCAGGTCAAGTCGTCGTAGGTGGCAACCGAACCTCCAGCGGAGATTCTTAGTACCCCCTACTCCGCCGTTCATATGGTCGCTGCCGTAGCCAGGAATAGCGGGGCCGCCGGGGAATGGGGTCCGTTTACTTGTGTCGTTGCTCATGGGGGGTATTTGTCATAGTTGCCGCGCTTGGTCAGTGGGTTGGCAACTGCAGTTGTTTTGTTGTACAATTGATCTTATCAGGAAAATGCTGCTGCCCATCTCCTGCCGTTTCTTCTGTCGCCTTTTACGACACCCACGGGAAGATATCTTTAACCATGGCTACATGGCATACGTTGTGTTAAATTCAAATATTTTGCGTTAAAGTTTTAACGTTTGTGAGTAAGAGACACAGTAGGAGAGCGAGGCGACGACTGCACCATCACATTATATAAGTGATTTTTGGCGCGGGTTACGCATTGGGAGCCAAAGGCTTCTATGTGTACTACTGGACGGGCACTACGGTACTTATATATTGCGTACTAAGTTACGGTCGACTCTCCGTTACTTCTTCCGATGACAGTGTGCGGGCGATAAGACAAGTTCTTTGTTTTGTAAACCGCTGTTGTAAACACTGATTTTCTTTAATAGGACTAAGAAAAAGCTGTCATTATTTATGTCCACACTTTGTCAATGTGATTTAAAACTTATTATAGATACGTGCCTTTATTTTGTATTTGCCTAAAAACAGTACTTAACTGTCGTAAATGAAAATACAACTGAATTGTCGGTCTTGTAGTAGGTATATATAGAAGTCTTAGTTTATTAAATTAATTTTATCGCGGTTTACACAAAGAACCATTGGGAACCGATATAAATGTAAATGCAGGCAGCTTTCCCGCGCTGGAGGTGATGGTGCGGGGCGAAGTACACGAGGTGCGTATACAAAGCGCAACGGATGCGGGGCGGGCGGGGCGCGCGCTCGCCGCGCTGCTGGCCGCCGCCGCGCGCCGCCTGCGCTACGCACGCGTGCGCCTGCTGCCGCCCCCGCCCCCGCGCACGCCGCCGCGCACCCACCCACTCCAGCACACGCACAACGCCTCTGCGACCCTAGCTCGGTGAGACCGTGCCCCTAGATTCTCTTACAAAGACTTTTTGTACTAGAAGACCGGCAGTTCAGAACAAAAACGGTGTCACGGCTGAGTATCGCGCTAGCGTGGCAGCTGGCACGGTAAATTTGCCACGCAGTTGTGTTTTCATTTAAGACACTATTGTTTTGGGCAAATACGAATAAAGGTACTTATCCGTAATAAATATTATCACGTTGACAAAGTGCGCACAAAAATAGACAGCGTTTTCTTAGTCGTATTAAACAAAATCAATGTTAGATTTTGGAAAACAACGTTCGCGTTAAACAAATCAAAGAACTGGTGTGCTCGCCTGCTTGCTATCATTTAAAGGACTTGCGGAGAATTGACCGTGACTTAGTGCGCAATACATTCAGGACGCAGAGCCCATCTAGTAGTTTACTTATGAGTCTGCTTTTTTATAACATTTAATATTTAAACGACAAAGAACATAACAGTCCACTTGATGGTAATGGACTATTCCACGCCTACCCGAGGATGCGCCACGTGTCATCACAGAACACATAATATCAGCGAGCTTTCAAAATCATTACGTACCTGCCTCACCCATGTTGGTGAGCTCGGAGCCGATATTCGAATCGATAATGATTTTCCCTAACATACTTACGTCTGTGCGATTGCTTCGCGTCTTTTGATGGATTTTCAGCATTATTCGATCCTCAGAGCCCCGCACTTTATAGAGCAATACAAGACGACGTGTGGAAAAACGTTGTGATACTCAGCTTTATAGCGCTGGTATAATACGTAGGTCACTCAATAAGTTTTGAGATGCTCGAAATTTAAAAATGGAACGTACCCGTTTTTTGTTCCTAAAAAGCAAATTTATTTAAAAATAGAACTCCAAAAGTTCTATTAATTTTCCTGCAACTTTTTCCGCGCTTTTCATTTAAAACGACGGATCGTAACCGTTCACGTTTGCGCATTATGATCTATTATGATTTTAAATTTGGTTTAATCGAACAAATAAGTTTACAACGGTTACAATCAGACTCAGCTCCATCACGCGTAACAATTTTTAGGTGGTTTGCAGAACTCAAAAAGGCGTAAAATTAACCTAAAAGATGACCAAAGAACCGGGGCCTCGCAAACAGCAGTAACGGCAGAAAATGTATAGACTTCTGAAATGTTGGTTCGAGAAGACCCATGAATCACATAAACGGACATCGAAAAGACTGTAGGCATTAGTTCGGAGAGCATTCATACCATCCATTCATACACCGACATCTTTGAGTGAGCAAGCTTTGTTGTCGATGAATCCTACGTTTGCTCTCCGAAAGCGAAAACAGACTCGTGTGGATTGGTGACATGAAATGCGTCTACGTTTTGAAACCGGGACATCTAGGCCGGTTTCAGTAATCGTTACTAGTGACGAGATATGGATCTATCAATATGATTCGGAAAATAAAAGGCAATCATCGGTATGGGTCTACTCAGAAGGACAGTTACCAACAAAACTGCAAAGACCTCGCAACGTCGGCAAAAAAAATTGTGGCTATTTTTTTTCGCCGAGTGGACATTTGTCGCCGTCAATACTGTAAAATTGTAGGTCAGTCAACTCTGAATGGTATACTACCGTTGCATTATCCAAAGCTTTTTTAGCCGTGCGGGAGAGAACACCAAACACCGGGCTTCGGGAATTCATGCTGCATCACGATAACGCCTCTTCACAAACCTTAGGATAAAAGCATTTTTTGAGGAATCTGGTGTTGAAGTCACCCACCCTATAGCCCTGACTTAGCTCCTTGTGATTTCTTTTTGTTCCCAAGAGTCAAAGAAAAAAAGGCAAATTTTTTTCAAGCGCCGAAGGTGTGGCTGCCTACAAAGAAGCTATTTCCGACCTGTCAGCTCAAGACTGACAAAAGTGTTTTCAGAGTTGGTTTAGAGGAATGAAACTTTGTATAGAGCATGATGGAGAATATTTTGAAAAGATGTAAAATAAATATTAATAGTACCTAGAATACTTTTTGTATATCTCAAAACTTATTGAGTGTCCCACGTACATAGATATTACATGGCGTCTGTGCACGGTGAAAGAGAATCCATTACCCCATTGCATGTAGTAGGTGACGTGGAAGAGTCTAAGAAAAATTTTAGGTACATTCATGATGTTGGGACTTACACCTAACACCGGTAATAAGCGTTTGTCGTGGAAAATTTTAATTCCAAATGCAAAACGGGTATTACATGATATGTTAATGTGACGGCTCCGTGGCTTAGCAATCAATTTCACGTGGTGGAGCCACGACGCAACTATATTACGGTCGTAGCACTAATGGGTCGGCTCGACCACGTTCTCACAGAATACCGGCGCAAAACAGCAGCTTAAATGCTGTACTTCGTATTGTGAACACTCACAATGTTTTCCGGTTCTCTTTTACATGTTCATTTTTACTGGAAACGTCATAGTATCCACTTACCATCTGGTGGACTATAAAAAAAATATTGAAGCCCTGAGGGCCGAAGGTATAGATATAATTGTTACGGGACTGGATTTGCCTTTGTGAAACTTATGTGTTAAAACTGCCTCCACAATACAGGAGAAAATCCTAGTGTGGAGTCGACCACGCGTGCTGTAAATTACTCGAATCATCGGGAACAGAAAACTAGTGAAAATTCATTCAAATTTAACGTTAAATACGTAAGTGACATATCGTCGTGTTGGGTAAACAAGGTTTTATCCTAATACATCACGAAATCAGTTTTTGTGGCTCTGACTATAAAATACCTACTTACGATGTTTGTGTCCTATCTGTATAACAGCTATGCTGTGATGGATGTTCAAGATTGATCTTCAGTACTTTCAAGCTCTATTAGGAGTAGTTACGTTGTACCAGTTCTGGCGCACTTGTAGAAAGGTTGTACCAGTTCTGGCGCACGACGTTCGTCGACTCACGATCCTAAAAAAAAAAAAAAAAAAGTTTTGGCATGCTCTGATCACGAATCTGCGGTCCATTTTTGCGTAGGATGCACGGTTCCGGAGATGTGCAGATCAATTAACTCTTATCTAATTGATATCCGCTGCGAGCCTCAACCGTCATTAGCGCTCCATTGTCCTTATCTACTTATCTATTGTTGATTGACTACCGTCATTATCTATTATTCGTCCAGCGTGTGGGTCGGCTTATGCTATTGTATTATACTCCTTTGTTCCTATCTACAACACTAATCTGAATCATCAATAAAACACATTACCTAATTCTGTTAAAATTTTTATTTATAAAATACAAAATCTTATTACTTATTATCTATAAAATAGGAGCGAAACATCTCATCCACTAACATATCGTTGTACAATGTGTTCTCTGTAAATATACTCGTAAAACTATGCATTGAACATCCCTGAAACTTATATAGCAAATATATTAAGCAATATTCGCCACAAACTGAAGTCCTATCAACATTCCAGTTCCATCTTTTAAACACATTACCTAATTTTGTTAAAAATTTTATTTATAAAATACAAAATCTTATTACTTATTATCTATAAAATAGGAGTGAAACATCTCATCCACTAACATATCGTTGTACAATGTGTTCTCTGTAAATATACTCGTAAAACTATGCATTGAACATCCCTGAAACTTATATAGCAAATACATTAAGCAATATTCGCCACAAACTGAAGTCCTATCAACATTCCAGTTCCATCTTTTAAACACATTACCTAATTTTGTTAAAATTTTTATTTATAAAATACAAAATCTTATTACTTATTATCTATAAAATAGGAGCGAAACATCTCATCCACTAACATATCGTTGTACAATGTGTTCTCTGTAAATATACTCGTAAAACTATGCATTGAACATCCCTGAAACTTATATAGCAAATACATTAAGCAATATTCGCCACAAACTGAAGTCCTATCAACATTCCAGTTCCATCTTTTACAATTTCGTACAGGTGCCCGTCCATATGAATCAAAATATTCACCGACGTCATTCGTATCGATATATAAAGCTACCCAATGTGACCCTGGTTTATCATCTGTACCCAAATTGCATATTACCTAGTCAGGTCATAAATTCTATCACATGTTTAATGTAAAATAATTGAAACAAGTTTATTCATTATGTAACCATTTATATACCAAAATGAACTTAACAAAACATAGATTCTTATGACACTATAGTTTATTCAAAATGACCTCCGTAATTTTGAATACAGGCCTTCAATCTGCGCGGCCAGTCGTCTATCTCACCACGAACGAGGTCCATGTCATATCGGCGGCTGCCTTAATTAAAGATGTCTTGAGTGACTCGAAATTGGGATGAGGCTTTGAGCACGCCTTTTCCTCCAAGTGTTACCATATCTTGTAATCTAACGGATTCAAATCTGGACTGGTCTTTGTGTCGGATGAAGTCGATTTCACGCGCCGCCAGCCAGTCTTTTTTTTTTTTTTTAAAAGAACGTTACCTCCACACTAGGTTTTTCTCCTGTATCGTGGGGGCAGTTTACAAACACAAATTTCACAAGGACAAACATCCAAACTCGGAACAATTACTTGTAGGTCGTACAAATACTTGTTCCGTGCGGGATTCGAACCCGCGACCCCCAAGCGCAGCCACTCATTGCTAAGCCACTACGCCACGGAGCTGTCAAAAGTCTTGTGTGCTCTTCGCTCTATGAGCTGACGCCGAATCTTGTTGGAATACCCAGTGCCTGTTATTGAACATGGTATGAGAAACAGGTTACACAAGGTTCGTCAGGACTGTATTTTGATACACAACTGCATTCGTTTTTAACCTTTCTCACAAAAATGTACCTCTGTTAAGCCCCAATAAGAAACTCCCAACCATACCATGAGCGAGGATGGAAAATGACCTCGTTGGACACGCGGAATACGGTTGCTCGCTTCTTCACTACTGTGTGCGTACACCTTATCATTTTGTTTGTTGTAGCTCTCTTCTACGGTAAAAATTTTTTTATCCGAAAAAAGAATTTCCCGATATTTTTTTCCCGCGTACCGCTTCA